GAAAGATCCATACCCTGATGGGTGTTACGCCCGACTTCTTGAGGTCTGCTTGATGGTGTGTGTTCATCTACTACTTTACTTTCGTGTATTGATGTATCCACAGGTTGATGCCGATACCAAAGTATACCCTGATTCGCTGAAATACCTCGTCAACTGTATGCACCACGACCAAATGATCATGGGCGTCTGCGGGGAGACTCGCATAGCTAACAAACGTGATTCCTGGGTCACCGCCATCCAAGTCTTCGAATACTTCATCTCCCACCACTTAGCCAAAGCCTTCGAATCCGTCTTCGGTGGTGTTTCATGTTTGCCAGGATGTTTCTCCATGTTTCGACTGAAAGCGCGCAAAACGACAGGCGATGACTGGATCCCTCTTATCGTCAAGCCTGAGATTGTACGCGAATATAGTCAAAGCGAGGTCACTACACTGCACCAACAGAACCTTCTTCTACTCGGAGAAGATCGCTTCCTCACTACCATCCTCCTCCGTACATTCCCCAATCGTAAGATGATGTTCTTACCCCAAGCCAGATGCCGCACTGTTGTACCCGACACTTTCAAAATTCTCCTCTCCCAACGACGTCGATGGATTAACAGTACGATCACAATCTGATGGAACTTGTTCTTGTGCGCAATCTATGCGGGACATTCTGTTTCAGCATGCAATTCGTGGTCTTCATGGATTTGGTCGGGACGGTCGTACTACCCATTGCCATTATGCTCACGTATGCGCTCATTGTGGGCATGATCATGCAACCCCCAACAACCTTCGAGGAAGCGATCCCACTCATGCTGCTTGTATCAGTGCTGGGTCTTCCCGCTGTGCTGATATTGATAACAACGAGGAAGGTTGTATATGTGTTTTGGATGATTATACCTCCTAGCACTTCCGGTGTGGAATTTTATTCTTCCCGTGTATGCATTCTGGCATTTTGATGACTTCTCATGGGGAGAGACGAGGTGCGTTTATTCCGCTTTTTGCAAGTAGTTGCTGCAATGTTAACGGATACGTTACAGAAAAGTGGAAGGGGAGTCAAAGGGAGAAGGGCATGGTGCTGGCTCTGGCACCTTCGATGGTTCCTCGGTTCCTCTTCGCCGCTGGGAAGACTGGGAGCGCTCGCGCTTACGCAAACTCAAGCGTGAAGAACGGCGGCGGCGTGACTTTGATCGCATGCATCCAGCAGGGTACATTTCTTCCGAAAATGACCTGCTCAGCGCGCGCAATGATGCCCGTAGTCCATACGGCGACGGATCAGACACGCATTCTGTCGTATCGTCCGAGGATGATCATTATGGCCCGCAGATTGGTGGATACAACGAGAACAATACTCAGTTCCCTGCTCCGCCTGTTGGTCTGTTTCCGTCTGGACATGGGGCGGATGGGAATAAGGTGGTTGGTGGTGCAGAGTTGGAGGCGATGTTGGAGAGTGGTTTTGATGATGATGAGAGCCCGCAACGGACGCCTACGAGTGCGATGTACGCCGCACGGTATCAGCTTAGCGATAACCATCACAACAGCGTCTCATGTCCTACGCATCATCCGACTCGGGCTCGCGAACACCCCCCATACATCATCAACCGTATGGCACACGAATAGAGGACCGGAGTCGCACCGGTGAGAAGTATGGCCCGTTGGGTCCGTTAGATCCAGGAGAGAAGTTTTAGATCGGGACATTTGTTTTTGTGAGGACGGTATCTCATTCGATGTTTCATACATACTGCACATGATGTTTGTGTGGGTTTTTACAAGTATCTCATATGTCTACCCACAGGGTGCCCGCTATATTTGGTACAAAACGGTAGATACTATAATCATTGAACATTTACTGTTAGCTGTCTTCTCTACGAATACGTGACAGGACTTGTCATGTACATGCCCAAAGTTGTGCTTCATTATTTTCCCACTCACAATCAGAATTGTTGCAAACGATCCATGGATTTACGCATAACGAAGTTCCAGTAGATAGTCCTTTTTCTTGTATATATCACTTCGCCCAAACAGAATGATCACGAAGATTATCTCGCAGCGCTTACCGGAACCATCTTCAGATAAAGAATCCCGCGCGGCGCGGGTGATCCCCTAGTCATCAGCGGAAAGGGGTCCAAGCCTGGCTCTAGGACAGCTAGGACAGTATCTCTTTGGAGGCCGCGTCATTCCCTTCTTGGTGAACTGTATGAACCGTGTTCTTGCCACCACGAAATATCATATTATCAGAAAGTAAAGCTTTATCTTCCGTGTTTAGCTTCGAACGCGCAACGCGCACCAATTCACGCAGAGTCATCTGCTTCTCGACAACAGGTCTTTGACCTCCAAGCCAAAGATAGCTGATAAGGAGACCGTAGCGATTGATGAGGTCACGAGCCTCACCAAGCATCACGCGACGATGCAGAGCGTGGATTGCTAGGGATATAGATCAGTAGGGATTGCGAGGTGTTGAAATTAACCACTCACGCGCTGAAGGGTGGCCTGTATTCGTGTGTTTGAAGCTTTAAGTTGGTTTATGTTTTCGGCTTGTTCGCCAGTTATACCAGAAATTCCTGGCATAGGTCACCCAGAGCCTGCTGGACTGAGCACTGAGGGACCATCGGTTGCTGATACGTGTACCACTGAACCACGTATGACTATTGTCAAGTAAGCGAATGACGAGGCAAAGATGCATGACGACGTTGCCTACCTTTCTTTGCTTTGCTTCGAGAAGATTTCAATTCTATCTTTAGCTCCAATAATTCTTCGTCTCATACAGAGTTTCGCTGATATCCGCCCGCGATTTTCCTTATTCTCGTTCACGAGTGCGCGCAATGCATGAGTATTTGACATTTTAAACAGCGCGGATTGGAAGCTATGAGATGGGGGTGGTTCAACTGATAAAAGGTGTTTGGTTGTATGAAATACAAACCTATGAAGAAATCTACTTTGTTCAATTCGATAGGAGATCCTGGGTCGAAGAGGGTGCTGTACCGCCAGTGGGCGGACGGTCGTTCATGAATTACTGAGTACGAGAAGTAAAGTGGTGTCTAGGTTCACATGAACTGTGCATGGTAGACTTTCAGAGTCCACAAGAGAGGGCGGATGGCATCCAACATTGCAGCAGCCCCCACGAGCAGTACGAATTACCGAACATTTTAATCGCGTAAGCGAATTGATGCCAAGGGTGCAGATTTATCAGTTAACACCCGCATACTGGGATGAGCCGCCCCCCATGAGTTGAAGAAAATCGTCAAAGTAGTCCCGACTCACCTCTGCATCTTTCAACACAACCCTATCACCTGAAGGCTCACTGTAATGCAATCAACAGCACTATCCACAATTTAGTGGGACTTGTTCTTGTGCGCAATCTATGCGGGATGTTCTACTTTGGTGTGCAATCCGCGGTCTTTGTGGATTTGATTGAAACGTCGTACTGGGGAATCGAGCATGGTTCTCGTTGTACGGACCAATCAATTGGCTCCAATGACCGTCCTCGGATGATACGATAGAATGCATGTCTGACCTGATGCCGTACTGACTGCGCACGCTACCCTGGCACGAAACGGAATGTACTCGCCATGAGAAGTCACGGAATGCGGTATACACGGGAGGAATAAAATTCAACATCGCGGATATCGGGAGTGCGGAGCTAGAGGAGGGCGCCAATCAGCTTAGTAATGGCCCACTCCTGTAAGTGGAGGATGATCGGATGACCCGCGGGGCCTCGCTGGGACCGTATGATCTAGAAGTTTAGATATCGATTAGTAAGTATTTGTATCTTCATGATAATGTGCAGGCTATGCGAAATGGTAGATTCTTGACTCAGTTGTTCTGGGCAACTACGATAAGCATGTTCATATGAATATTGTGCTGGCTAAGATCTGCAGTTAACGAGACCTTGCAAGACGGTGCCAAGACTGATCATGGCTAGCGCTCAGGATGGATTTGATTCAGAACCCTGGTCTCTATTACGGTCGTAGCGAATAGTGCTGCCGCGCGCCTCGATCAAAGTTCAATATATTTTCAATGGTCAACCCTAACTACTAGCGGTATTTCATCCTTTCTGCTAATATCCCCGCTATAGTCCCCAGTCATGACGCCCACCCTCACGGAACGCATTCCTCCCCCGCCTCCCGCCCAATTTCACCCCAGCGTCATCCTGAAGCACCCACAACCACAACCGAAATCGCCTATTCAGTCTAAAGTAGCTATACAGCCGTGGGTCGCCCAAGTAAGTCATTTGTATTTCTTGAATGGTAACTACCATGTAGCTCACTGTCACCCACGCCAGCTTGCGCACCTTGCCTCGCAGTACCACCTGAGCGAGTACAACCGTATAAAGTATGGCCATCGAGGTGCATCATTTGTTGCCATCATTCAATCCATTTTCACTAACCCCCATTGCAGGCTGTCCTATACCATATGCGCCACTATTACTGAACGCCCCAGACACCTTTCGCGACCTGCGTGTCCGGCAACTAGCAAATATGAATGGTGTACTATGGTGGCCATGTCCAGAGGTGTCCTATGCCACTGCACAAGTGATACCCGCTTCCGAACAGCGCAATGCACTCGTTAGCGGAACCGCTTGCCCTTCCCTCGACCCGCTTCTCCAGAAAGAGCTGAACGCGGCACTAGAGGATACTCTTTCCTCACAAATGCCACCTGCAACTATTCCCGAATGCACCTCACATTGTAGCATGCCCGTCAAGACATCTAAAACCCATCCGTTAAAGTTCGTTTTAATTTACTCTTGAAGAACCCTGGCTCATAATTTGGTTGCAAATGCAGCATATCCACCATTGTGCCTCCAGAACTATTACCCGCAATTTCATCACATCTTATAACCAATCCCGAGCCCTCACCTGTCATCTTCCATATACCTGATTTCTATACCCTCTATCGCATCACGGACTATGCACAGCACGTCCCATCAACAACGAGCACTACATCTCTAGCGGTCTCACGTAAGGCTCACTCGTGTTGGTCAAGTCGAATTCCGTTATCACCCTCAATACCCGCGCATTCTTCTTCACTAAACCCTATTCCTCATACCCCTCCCCTCCCGATACCCCCAGCGTTCACAAACCAACCACCGCAGTCCATAATCGAAGCTCTTCAGGCTGCCATTGACACGCGCCTAACGACGCTCACCACCAAACCTCGTCCTTCGCTTCCATTCATAGCAAAGCTTCCTCCTCCTACTCTTAAACATAGTACCAAAGTTCGCATGGTATCCGATGATTTGGCGAGCAACCGGTCTTCATCTGCACAAAGAGGGACTTCTGCTCTGCCAAAGGTTGTCTTTCCTTCTATGCTCGACTTCCTTAATTCCAGTGAACGTGAACAGTGAGTCCATGTCATCGCTGTTCCTTGTGTGTAAGCCTGATGGTGTAGACTGGCGTTTTCGGTTACATCGCAGAATGCCACCAAGCCAAGAGCGTCTGGCGCATTGCTCCATCCAACATCAAATATTCCTGGTACCAAGCGTTGTTTCAAGCTGGGTAACTTGATGGTGTCCTCGTGTCCAGGAAAGAAGGGTACGTTTCACTCAAGGCATGAGTGTGTCCACTGACTGGTGTCAAAACGGTTGCTAGTGCGCCTCACAGGTCCGGTCAGAGGGCGCAGCGCCGTTTGTCGAGATCTCGACACTGATTTACGGCATATAAGTCAAGTTGGAGCACGCTGCATTGTCTGGTTAGTTGACATGTTAACATGTCCTGTGCATAGTTAACTGTTTGTAGTTGTCTGGATGACGAAGAGCTTGAGTTTCTTGGGATACACTGGTCAGACTACGTGAGCTCTGCACACCGGGCAGGAATGGACATCCTTCGGCAAGTATTCCATCTGTCGAGTCCTTCAGCTGCTGACTTTCATTATATTTGCAGGATACCACTGCCTGAAGGCCTTGCTCCACTATCGCCCCAGTCATTAGACGAGTCTCTAACAAAACTCATCGATGGTTACACCATGCGTGGTGCAAGTATCCTCGTACATTGTCGAGGGGGTTGGGTAGAGCAGGCCTCGTAGCATGCTGTTGGGCACTAAAAGTCGGTTTGTGCGGGTGGATCAACGTGGACCTATCACCGAACCCAGCAGAAGGCCCCGATGGCTCGGAGAGTTGCGTTAGGAGGGATACTTTACAGCTCGTCGAGCGCGCGATCACTGTTGTGCGGAGACGGCGAAGCGTCAAGGCTATTGAGACGCTCGAACAGGTGCGGTTTTTGACTGAGTATGTTGATTTTTACGGGAGCGGGAGGGACAGTCGTGATTTATGGCTGGTGTATTTATTGTCTCGGTGTGAACGGCGTGTTATCTTGATTTGTTGTTATAACCTTTACTCTACTGTAGTCATTTTCATGTGTAGGTTTAGTAGGAGCTGATGTTCTTGTACATGACTGCAATGAGGAGATCCTGCAGAACTTGAATTCCATTCCCGCTACAAGTCGATCGAGCAGGATCTGATTTCCAGATCTAGCTCGCCAATTTTGCTCTGATAGAAAGACCATCTATTTCGCTGACACTTCGAGCTCAAGCCCTGAGGGCCTCGCGTTCTCTTCACGCTGTCGGTTCGTTGGAAGCAGAACTGATCAAGATAAGACCCAATCAACTACACAATGAGGAATATCAAATGAGAACTTCCATCCCTCCCCATTCCAACACCCTGAACAAAGCCATATCACCGGCCCTTGCAAGATCCACTCCAACTACATCCACCCACCAAGCAACGTCTCTCTCTGCTTGTATCTGGGCATTAGACCAATCTACCAAGTGCTCCTTAGAGATACCTCTGAACAGCATGAACACGCGAGTCACGACGTCAGGCCGTGGAGAGATGCTCAAGGAAGCGGCGCGTTCGTATGCTGCTTGAGGGACGAATCGGAGGGCAATGTATTCGTGCTTGAGGATGGATGGTAGCCAGTAGCTATCGCGGCAATTTTAGTGACGTGTTTATGGTTTGACAGCCCGAGTACGCACGTTATGAATGATGTTCTAGCTTCGGTGTGAAGTCCCAGAGCCTTGAGTGATTTATCGAGGTAAACAGTTATTTTGTCGACTGGAATGACAACTGAATCTGTATCGCTGAGACTACTGGATGTGGGACTGAATGTATCCACTGGTTGCGGTTTGGATGCTGGTGAATGAGGCGAATTTGTCCTGCGAGGAGTAATACGAGTTAGGAGTGTGATTTCTGTATCATCAGGGGACTTACTCCGCCTCCCAAAACAAGTAC